ACACACACACACACACACACACACACACACACACACACACACACACACACCCTGTTCCAGGACACCAAGTTCCTTCCCTTGAGCCCCACTGCGTTCACTCAGGATGTTCACAGGGACAGGTCCCCGCCCCCCAGGGAACCTCAAGGAGCTGCCTCTGTGTTCTCATAACTTGATGGCAGTGCTTACCGCTTATGTCTGGCAACTGCTGATGGTTGGCCCTCCGTGCCAAAAGCCTCTACTGGAGGGCCTACCTCCGTCCAGGATAGACATTATGTCTTCAACCACTTCCTGGCCAGCACAGACCCCTTCGAGGCTTCTGTAGTTGTGCATAGTGCTTGGGATACAATGTAGGGAAGCAAGGGCTCCCCAGCTGCAGAAGCATCGGCTACTCACAGCAAAGTAGCATGAAGGAAGACAGGACATGCCTGTGATCCTAGCGTGGCCGAGGAAGCCTTAGGCTACCCGGTGACTAATAGAGGTTGCTGTGTAAGAGGGAGGAGCGTGGGGGAGCTGTCAGCTGGGGAGGGGTGCTGCCTGGGAGCCTGTGCTCATGGCATTTCCAGCATTCCAAAATATGGCCTTCTCTAATCACCATTGACATTCCATTCCATAGGCACTGGGGCTGACAGCTGGCCTTCTTTTAATAGCTACAAGTGTTCTGGGTGACATTGTGAGCTCAGGCCATTGGCAGTAAGCACTTCCACAGCTTGCAGCCCCTTCCCCCAGGTATTTCCAGCATCAAAATCACACCGAGAGTGCACACCATCCACACCCCGTCACCCGCACCACACAGTGACAGAGAGCACATGCCGGGAACACGGTCCACACACGAGTGAGTTGTTCTCTGCTGTGGACCACATATCTTCACGAGCACATACAATCATACACACGCTCTGCATCTGTCACGGCACAGCACGGCTAACAGCACACAGTCACATGCAGATAGTTGCCGAGGCATAGACCACACTCAGGCCCTGCTAGGGATGCCCTCTAGGTAGGCAAAGGAGAGCTGGGATGTATGGGGTAGGGGTGATTCTGAGAGGCCTGTTCACACAGCAAGCCTGCCTTTCTGGCCACTCCTTAGGCTACTTGGCCTGTCTCCCTACCCTTTCACAGACTGGCAGGTGCTGGGTCCAGGCACTTTGGGAGTCTTGGATTTTTATACCTGGGGGCTGGAAGAGGCCTTGACTTCCCCATCTTCCAGGTCCTGACTGCAGAAGGATAGCCCACTTGTTCGCAGGGCAGCTTCCCACGCAGCTGTTGCTTCTGTGTCCGTCCAGCCCTGGGGAGGTGGGAGAGCAACTTTGAGGTGAGAGAGACAGCTTACTTATGGCACACTCAGACCTTCTTCCTTTCAGCCTCTACACAGGTATTTATCGACATCATGACATCACTTGCAAAGTTGTGGTCAGCAAAGCCCAGGAAAGAGTTATATACACCTATGAGAAGTGTTTGTCTTCTTAAGTGTGTGGATATGTAGATAGGTGGCCTTCATGAGAGCCAGGCCTCTGTTAACCAACAAGACAGACTCCTCATTTTCTACTAGTGGCTTAGAGAAGGGAGCCCTGATATCTCTATGGCTTAGCAGAAGGCCTCAGGGACAGAGCAGCAGATGATAGCTGGCCAAACCAGCCACGCTGGCTCTCAGATACACAGTGAGGGCATGGTGGGCCAAGGCTTTAGGCTAGGTCTGATCTCAGGCTAGTGCATTCCCTTTTCTCTAGCCTGTAGCTCTTCATACCTCATGTAAGGTGGTGTTTTAGTGGTAAGGAACGGAGCCAGCTCTTGCCATAGAGAAAGAGCTGACTTGGAAAGCCCATGTTTAGACTGTGCTGCTGCTGGCTGACTTCAGACTACCTGTCTCTTCTCTGTTCTGGCTATTCCTGCTTGTCACAGAGGGTGATGTACTTGAGGTTAGAAGAGGTAAATGACACATTCCCCAGTCTAATATGTGGCTCTGCCAACTAGGCCCAGGTCCCCAGGGTGGGTTGGGAAAGGAAAGGTGAGGTACCAACTAATGGGGCACACAGCATACATACCACCTCACTCTCAGAACCCAGGGACTCTTGACGCTTCCGTCCGGAGATCCAGCTGAGGTCAGAGGACTGGATGCTCAGTGTGGAACGGTGGGTAGATCGGTAGCTGAGGGAGGGATGGCTGCGCTGGCCTGAGACTCCAAGGAGCACGCCAAGGCAGGGCAGGTACTGGGCAATGGCCACCCTGTAGGAGTCACTGGTTAGGGTAAAGGGACATGAAATGGAGAAGGAAAGGACAGACTGATACAGGGTTAGAGTGTGTGAACAGACAGATGTTAATGATGGTTACAGACAGACAACTAGATGAAAGAGACTGATAGGCTCCCAGGGCTGATGGGATTAACAACAGACCTAGGGGATGGTGGACGCTGGGAGAGTTGTGGGGTAGCAGGTTCAACCAACTAGGCATCGCACCAAGTCCTAACATGGTTGCCCTAGGTAACAGCTCTGGGAGTGGGTGGCATGGACACATCTAGGTGCTATAGGCTGGACTGACTGCAGCAGGAGATTAGCAAAGGCAGGACATCACCAGGCTGAAAACGGCTCTGAGGGCCTTGCTCTCATTCAGCTTAGTAGAGCATGAACTTGACCACATTACCTCAGGATGCTGCTAGGGCCCTCAGTGGAAGGAAGCACATTCTGCTGGGATCTTTGCAAGATGTCATGTTCTAGGGGCTTGCGTTTGCACAGGAGGCACTGCTAATAACCACCCTGGCTGCCTTAGACATAGCTCTGTAATTAGGACTGGCTGCCACCCAGGTAGCCATTGCTATTTCATGGGATGCTGGGAAAAATGAGGGGGCATGCCAACTTCAGACTCTTCCCAGTGTTTGCACCAAACAAACACTGGGGTATGCATGACCCCGAGCTAATACACACATGAGAGATTAGAGAGACAGAGCAGCTCTGCCTTCATCTGGAGGCCCAGACTCTCCATGCCCCTAGGTGGGCGTGGAGGCCTGGAGGAGGCCGCACCTGTACTTGGGGTGAGTGATGGCATAAATGATGGGGTTGTGGATGGCAGAAGCCTTGGCGATGACAGCTGGCACTGAGTTCATGTAGGGCGTCAGGATGTGCGAGTACCTAGGACAGAGAAGGTGTGGGGTCCCCCATTCATACCCCTAGTTGTGGCTGACCCTGCCAAAGCCTAAACTAAACCAATGCCAGTCCAGTCTTAATCAACACATAGAAGCCAGCCCCACAGTGAGAGACTGGCAGTGCCAGTGAGAATTCTGGCTGAAGATGGATAGGAAGGACACTGAAGATTGCTGAGGGTAGAGCTCAGGGGGGCAGATGTGCCATGTCTACAGGGATTGTACAGCAAGTCTCACTGTCTCTTAGAACCTGTGCAGCTGGCAATGCCTCTCTATGCCATTCAGTTGGCAATGCTGCCAACCCTTACCCCATCCAGTTGTACACTGGCCCTTGGATGTCTTAGAGAAACTTCTGACAGGCCCCTGGAGAAGACTGCATTATTACTACTCAAGAAGATTGGTACCAAAAAGCTCAAAGTACCAAAATTTCGTTCTCACAAGAAACACTTTGGAAATGTGGCCTGTGCCCATGCTGCTGAAGGTGCCATGGTTATCAGACTCCAGCCACAGAAGGTACTAGAGGGCACCACTTAGGGATCCATCCCTAAGCAGTAGCCTTCTTGGCTGTGTGCATATAGCTCAGGTTAAGGGGAGACCCGAACCTCAGGTTCTCAAGGAGACGGAAGATTCCAAGACTACCTTTATGTAGCCAGGGCTTTCCCAGTATATCCCTGAAGCTTCCAGGGACTGGGCCAGCCTAGTGGGGTGAGGCATGTCACAGGGAGAGGGTAAGGCTGTTGAGTTAAACCTAGGATGTCAGGATGGCTGGCGTGGGTCAGGCTGGAGGGAGAGGCTACCTAGACCTGTGCCTTCAACCCCTATACCAGCTCCAGGACTCCCGCTCACCCAGCAAAGGCCACCAGGGCCACCGTGGAGTAGGGAGCCCAGGATAACACGAAGAGGAGGATGACAATCAGTGCGATCTTGGCCATTTTCCACTCACTCTGCAGCCGCTGCCACTGCCGCCGCCGCAGAGGAGACTCACCGCAGCCCTCGAAGGCCCTAGGAAGGTTGCATCTGGGTTGTATGTAGCAAGTACTAGGGTCACAACTGCGGGCCAGCTTGTGCTTAGGACCCCCAAGTTCCACATTTGAAGGCCCTAGTGAGCGAGCTAACCTAAGCAATGCCACAGCTAAGGCTGAGCATCTGTTGCCGGAACCTCTCTGGACCATCCCTAAGAACACATAGCCAGGGTCATCCTTTCCCACACAGACAGCTCTGACTTCCTCATTTCACTGAGCCTCAGCTGCCCTCCTGTGGTTCTGCCAGAATTGCAGTCTCTAAGTCCTCCTCAGAGGAGGACCCTGTCTCTGGGCACTTTCCTAGGTGCCCTCACCTCAGAAGCACATGAACTCACTTGTCTTAACCTGCCTTCATCTGGGTGTGTCTGGTGGGTAGACCCTCCTTTCTTTGGTTCAGCGTTACACAGTGCACTCACCGGCCTGTCTCTCGGATGGCCTTGAAGATGAAGACGTAGCAGCCGATGATGATGAGCAGGGGGAGGAAGAAGACGAAGCAGAAGAGCAGCATGGTGTAGGCACGCACCCGGGGGGTGAAGGTCATGTAGTCCCAGGAGCAAGATGTCAGCAGCCCCTCAGGAACGTAGGCACCTGGGAGGCGGAGACAAGTGCTCAGGCTTCACTGTGGTGTTGCTTAGGGTCGCTTCAAGCGCGGAGGTTGGGGTTCCTAAGCACAACCTGGCCCCAGCCACGTGCCCACCCTGCCCAGAACTGAGAATGCTGGAGATAGTTGAGAGATGTGAAGGGATACTCCTAGGTTGGTTCTAACGGGCCATCGGTCTGGCATTGACTGGAGCTAGCCCCTCTGTAGCCCCAGGGCTAAAGTCTTGCTACTTGTCCCACCTGCTGAGACCTCACAGCCTCAGCCCCTGGCTAGTCTGACTCACTACAAACTCAGCGTCTTGTCCCCACTCACTTACCCCCATTTTTGGTGATAGGCTCCCTGACTGATCTTTTAGCGTCCTCCCCAATACTAGTGATGTCCCGGAATGTCCATCTGACTTGAGACTTAGGTGGTGCATGAGGCTGTCTGCCAGCTGTCCAACCCAACCTATCCTTAACCTTCCTCTCTCAGCCCCTCTGCCCCTCCCCTAATTCCTCCAGCCCGCTTACTCCAGCCAAAGAAGGGTGGCAGACTCCAGGCCAAGGCGTACAGCCAGACGCCGAGCAGGATAAGCGCCGTTCGTCTTTTGGATCCCATCCTGATGGTGGCCAGTGGACGTGTGATCACCAGATAGCGGTCCAGGGCGATGGCTGTCAGGGTGATCATGGAAGTGATGCCAAAGACAGCCCCACAGAAGGCGTAGAACTCGCAACCTGTGGATAAACCCACTTCCCTAAGTCCCTTGGGAAGAAAGTCCCTGAGGATGGGACGAACTGAATTCCTTCCTGACCTCCCAGAAAACAGGACCAAGCCATCTCCACCCTGCTTGCTCTCCACATCTGTCCAGGCTGGCAGAGGACTCACGGCCAGAACCCCATCTTTCCTCTTCAGTCAGTCACGGATTCAGGGTGTTGCCCACTTGCCCAGCGAGAGTCTATCACCTCATCCAGGCTACTTCCACCACTGTGGCATCCCTCTGTTAAGACCCGTTCTTCCCGATGGCAAAAAGATCCCCAAGTGTCTACCTGCCTCCCCAAAGAGCCATTTCTTGTAGAGGCTGCTGGCAAAGAAGACCGGGGCCTGGGTGAAGGACATGAGGAAGTCGCTGACTGCAAGGTTGATAATGAACATGTTCGATGGTGTCCGCAGGCCTCTGTTCCTGTGAGGTCAGAGGAAGTCAGGGTGTGCTTCCCAATACCCCCGGGGCTATGGGAGGCTTCCCTCACTCTCAGCTATTCATGCATGCACATATACACACAGGTTACTATGCTAAACGTGCATGGGCACACAAACATGCCTCGTATGGACACACGACCCGACACAGATGCATGCACACAGGCTAGGGCTGTTCGGCCACAGACCTGTCTCTCTGTCCAGCAGGTACCTCAGTAATATGGCCTAAGGGATCTCCCATGGTGGGTCCCTCAGAGCGAAGAATGAAGGAGTGTCTCCAGAAACAGCTGTGCTGCCCAGGAGGCTGGCTTTCTGCCACACCTTCTCTCTCTCTTTCTTTCTTTCTTTCTTTCTTTCTTTCTTTCTTTCTTTCTTTCTTTCTTTCTTTCTTTCTTTCTCTCTCTCTCTCTCTCTCTCTCTCTCTCTCTCTCTCTTTCTTTCTTTCTTTCTTTCTTTCTTTCTTTCTTTCTTTCTTTCTTCCTACCCTCTGGATTATTCCCTCTGCCTGACTCACTCTGAATCCTTGGAGAAACTTCTCTAGCTACCCAAAAGTGCCCTCTGGGCTCCCCTTTCCATTAGCTCTGACACTTTTTGCTTGTTTGGTTTTTTTGTTTTGTTTTGTTTTTTCAAGAAAGGATTTCTGTGTGCAGCCTTGGCTGTCCTGGAAATCTGTAGACCAGGCTGGCCTCAAACTCAAGAGAGATTGCCTGCCTGCCCCTGCCTTTAATCCTCTGCTGGGACCACAGGTGTGTGCCACCACTGCCCAGCCTAGCCCTGCCCAGATCAGTCCAACTGTCTCTTCAGTGTTCACTCTTGAGGTGGCAATGGGACCAAGATCTTATAACTATGACCACAGGACAGGTACTTTCAGAAACCTCCTCTCACACCACCCATCTTAATAGATGATCCTAAAAGAGGCATCATGGTTGCCACTTTCCAGATGAGAGTACTAAGGCCTTCACTCACAAAAGGACTTGGTCCCTGTCACAACTTAGTAAGTTGCAAAGCCAGGATTAATTTCCAATCAATGTACATGTAGGAGGAGGTATGGTAAGACGAAAGCCACAGTTCCATGTCACAGAGATGAGCCGTGGGCTCAAGGAGGGCAAGTGACTGGCTCAGTTCTTCCCCTAGTCTGTGGTGGATCCTGCAGTCTGTGCTCACTTTCCAGCCTTCCTGTTTCAGTCAGAAGCCAGTAGGACAAGGTGGGAATTCGGGGAGAAGCCAAGGTGGTTGTTCAGGGTAGCTGTTGAGGGTTTGAGGACCCTAGCTTCCAGGGATGCTCTTCAAGAATGAGGAGGGAGGATGTCTCTGGGACCAGAGGGTGACAGAGGTGAACTGAGAGCAGGGTAGAATGAACAGAGGCCAGAAGTTCCTAGAAGTACCTGCGCGCCACAGAGGCCCTGTGGGCATTCAGGGTTTCCTGGGCCATTTCCCTCTTTCCATCAGCTTAAAAGTTGATGCCTAGACCTAATACCATAAAAGGCATGGCCCTCGCTCCTCTGCCCATTCTCAGGTGCCCTGCATAGAGCCAAAGGATGTTTTTGTCCTTGTAACCTGCCCTGTCTACACGGCTGGCTACACACAGTACCCTGATCCATCCCCACCAACCGGGCACCTGCAGAAGGTGTAGATGACCGTCAGATTGCCCAGCATCCCTGTGAGCCCCACCAGCAGGATGACTGTGCCCAGGGTGTAGTGAGCATGGTCTGGGACATCGACTGTGGGGAAGGGGGCCCAGGCAGCAGCCCGAGGTCCAGATGCCTGTGGAGAGAGAGAACGGAGAACATCACCCTCAGATGTCCTCGGAAAGGAAGACTCAAATTCCCAATAAGGCAAGCGGGGACACTGGGGTACAGGTGAAAAGCTATGGCCAAGACACAGGTGAAAGTGCGGGTCTTCCAAATTTAACCCCAAGGCCATACATGCACAGGTGCTGGGCTCCTAAGAGGAAGGTGGAAGACTCAGGTCACCTGCTGGGAGCTGGAAGGACAAGTGTGTATGGCTTAAGTAGTCAGTAAAGCCGGCTCCTGGGTACTGCCTTCCCAATGTAAGCACACCCCATAGCAGGCCTTACAGGAGAACTTGCAACCCCTGTAGCACAACTGAGGACTGACACTGAAGACTGGCAGAAGAGAGAGGAAAACTTCCCACTAGAAAGAAAGGTTAGGTTCTGCAGAGTCACTGCATAGAGATCATTGTCCAGTGAGGTTAGCACACAGGAAGTAAGGACAACTCCCCAGGAGGGGGCTGCTCATTGTCCTGCCCAACACCTCCCTCTGTCCTGAACACTTCCAGAACCCTGGGACATGCCTTCTTCCCTACAATATTCCCACAGGGTGTCTAGCCACTTTCTGGAAAAAATAGATGTCACCAAGGGCAGGTCAGCACCTGCCTTTCTGGTCCTCCAATGATGAAGACGTTGTCCTCTTTCCTCAGCCACTTTGTGTAGGGAAAGCTTAGGGAAGTTCAGTGATGCGCAAGGTCCTTCATCTAAGCTCAGACCTTTTCTGTCTCCCTGTCAAAGCAGGGGTGGGGGCAGGAGTCTTCTGTCTACACACACACACACACACACACACACACACACACACACACACACTCTCCGAACTTACCGTGGGGTTAGCAGATAGAAGCTGGGCTCCTGCAGAGACATTCTGAGTGCTGTTCCAAATGCCATGTAGGGCAGGGCTGGCTGTAAGGCTGGGATCACAAGTTAAGCTTGAAGGGACTCGTGGCCCTGAGGGAGAGTTCATGGTAAGGTACCTGATCAGGCTCTCGGAGAAGCAAAGGGCATGGAAAGCTCAGGGATTTGTCCCCAGACTTCTGGCTTTACTCCATCCTTAATGCTGTGGTCTGGTCCATCCGCTGCCCAGCGTAGATCCAGCCTGGAGCTGCTCTTTGGGCTGCTGACTGCTCAGTGTCTGATGAAGCGCAAAGGAATGAGTGTCATGGCAGGATCCCTGCACACTTTTAAGAAGCAGTACTGGGTAGGGAGGGGACTACACAGGCTCACCGCTTCCGGCTCTCTCTGAAGTGGGTCCCTGGTGTCAGCCCACAGGGGTCTGATGGTGGCGACATGGATATGTGTATGTGTGCATGTGAGTGCCTACAGGGACACTGGCAGGCTCTGCTTTTGGACACTGGACACGAGTCTTTGTCCTCCACACTCCCTTTCTTCCTAGAACTCATCAAGAACGGCCCCTGTTATTCTGAGAGTCATGGTGGTCATTGGGGAAGCAAACCTACGTAAGGGCCTATCTCTGAGTCTGGCCGTTATTCCATGGCATCTTCACGCATCCCTGCAGGAAGGGAGATTCTACAATGTCACCTGGTATGCAGGGACAAGAAGTGTCTTTTTAGGTAGGTGTGGGACTGTGTACCTGTAGTCTTAGTGACATGAAAGACTGAATTCATTAGTTTGAGACCAGCCTGGGCAACATAGTGATACATTATCTTTAAGAACTAAAAAAAATAAAAAGTGGTTTTGGGTCTGGAGAGTTATAGAGCACATGCTGCTCTTTCAGAGGACCCAAGTTTTGAATCCAACACCCGTGCCTAAGACAAGGCGCATCGGGCTGTGGGCTGTCCCCTTCTCATGTCTGTATGCATGGGCCAGGCTTCTGCCATACTATAGAGTTAAGTACAGGGTCAGGGACCTACTCCTTGCTACTGTGCCTTTCTGGCGACAACTGTCTTATCTGGGAGTACTGAGCAGCCAAGCTCAGGTACTAGGCCAGCTGTCCCCAGCCTTTCACAGGGGTCACCTAAAACCATCGGAAAACAGAGATATTTTTGATTCACAACAGTAGCAAAATTACAGTAATAAAGTAGCAATGAAAATAATTTTATGGTTGGGGAACACCACAATACAAGGAACTGTATTAAAGGATCGAGAACCGCTGTACTCGATAGTCAGGTCATGGCTACCAGAGGAGTAAGGGAGCGTCTGCGAGCACCAGCTCCCAGTACCTTGGGATCTTCCAAAAGTCAGATTCAGGATCTGGTAAAGGGTCGGGGAGGCTTGATCACAGTGGAAGTGGAAGTCTCAGGCAGTGTCTTTTGCTAGGGGGAAGCGCAGCCATCGAACCTGCCCCCCTGAGGATTGTGAACAGTTCTGGCTACTAGTCTCTGCTCATAGGCAGCACCCCAAACCTCGCCTGTCCCCTGCTCTGGATTCTAGTTCACACAGGCCTTGTTAACATCACCACGGAAGCCCTCCTGAGAACTTGGGGTGTACATAGGCACCTGTGCATGGGCAGAACTTATCAGTGATGCTAGTGAGGCCTCAGATAGGCCTGTCTTGTTTACATCTGTTACCCTCTGAGCAGAGAAGCACCTGCACACACTGGACAAAGAAAAACAAAGTCCTCCCGGTCCTTGCTTCTCAAGGTGTGGCCTGAGGGCCAGCCCTTTGACGCCTGTGGGGGTCGGGTGATTCAGCACACATTACATTCAGGAGGAGGTGCTGGTCAGGATTCTAGAAGACGTCATGGGAAGCGGTGGTGGAACAGCTCATTTGAAAGGACACCAAAGTCACCCAGAGATTAGTGACGGTAGGATGTGCTGCCTTGCCTGGGGCTGGAAGGACTACAAGAGTGGAGGATCTCGGGAGTTCCAGGAGCTGGGGCTGTCCAACAGAGTGTCATAGAAGGAAGGTGCTCACAGCAGAGATGCGGCTGGACCAGTGTTGTAGAGCAGAGCTTGAGGTAGAGGACTCAGTGATGTCTTCTTCACCCTCCTGTCGTCAGCAGGTGCTAACAGCCCCCTGGAAGCCTGCTAAAGGGCTGGAAAGATACAGTGCCTTGTGACACGGAGCTGGGGCAGGGCGATGGTGCAAAGTGGCACCAGCTAGCTTCCATGTGTCCTCTCCCCACCTCTATCACCCTCTGTAGCTGTAGTCAATGGGGTCACCAGGTTGAATTTCACCTTTAGGACTCTCGTTCTTTCATTCTCTCACCCCAGCCTAAGGGCTCCCTTGGGAGTAGTGGTTTGAGTCATGGGCAGGGCAGTGGTACCAACTTTTGGCGTTGACCAGATTCTGCGGCGTCTCCATTCTTGAGCCACCCCTCTGCTCATCCTGGTCTCAGCATCCTTGAGTGGTCCTGCTCATCTCTCCACCCCCACCCCACCCTAGACACTGTACGAAGGGAGACCAGGGGCTCACAGCCCTGCGCTGCTTGAAGCCTGCCCTTCACGCTTCCATAGCATGCCTGGCTGGAGGTGAAAAAAGCTTTTAGGCCTCTCATCCCCAGAGGTGCAGTGCGGGGCACAGGAAGTGGGAAGCCAAAGAGGACTGAGAGGCTGGTGAGAGGCCGCCACAGTGACAGGAGGCCCCGTAAAGTGTGGGGAAGCTGCACTCCAGGGGAACATGATCCACACAGATGCCGTCCACAGGGTCCCATGCTGACTTTACGTAAGGGTCGTCCAAGCCCCGAGAATTCCTGTCCTCTGTGGAAAAATCCTCAGAGTCCTTACCGGAAAATTTGATTGTGAAGCCAAGAGGGTAGGAGGTTCCTGGCCCCTCCCCATCATCATTATATGGCCACGGCGTCCACAGCACAGGACATCTCCATCCCAGGCAGTGGTATTTCAGTGGTAATTCCAGTCTCAAGTCTTCTAGGCCTCCTCTGAGGTTGGCTTCCTCATCTGTGGGCTATATGGTTACCCTAGGAAATTCCAAGGAGCTGTTTCCAGGGGAATATTAAGTGTCATAACGAGCAGAGTCCTGAAGGCACCTGGCCAAGAGCTCTCATGGGGCTTCTGTTACCTGGAATCTGGCAAACCCCATAAGAATGGGAATCTCCTCCTCATGACCCAGGGGAGGGGCTAGCAAACAAAAACTCTATGCTTCCTGTGGAACCTGTGCTTCTCTTCCTCCCTCCGTGCCCTGTGCATAAGCATGCTCTTCCAAGCCCAATCTACACAAGGATCCAGGCAAATGACCTGGGACCCTGTTGACGGCCCTGAGACATCCAAAGTCCATTTATTTCCCCTAGCTTTCTCCTCCATTGATGTTCTCCTCATATGACTCGCTTCAGCAATCCCTGAGTCTATCCTAGGAACCTTGCATTAGCCAAAGGAAGCAGGCAGGGGAAAGTGGGAACTCCAGGAGGGATGGAGAGTGAGGCAGAGTCTACACACCCTGTGAGACTGCTCCCACAGGAACACCTGCGGCACTCCCTAAGACTCCCACCTTCCTGGCCGATGTGCTGGCCTTGGGTACTCAGGCTGGCCACCAACGATGGACGTATTTAGCCTATCTGTGCTGTCCTAGCGAGTCCAGTTTGGGCACTACAACCTCATTCTAAGAGTGACATTTATTCAGCTCTATAGCCCGAGTGGCTATCAGACACAGCAGCTGCCCCAGGTGAGGTCAGTGTCTAATTTGGGAGGGGCAATGTGGTGAGTCTCAAAAAGCAGCCTGTTCTTCCCCAAGGCAAACATTCTATGGAGAAGAACAGGTAAGAAAGAGTGGGACATAGCAATGAGAAACACAGTCAAGGACACACAAGTAATGGCTCCCTCCAACAAACTTTTTTTTTAAGATTATTTATTGATTATTCATACAGTACTCTGCCTGCACACAGGAAGAGGGCACCAGATCTCACTATAGATGGTTATGAGCCACCATGTGATTGCTGGGAATTGAACTCAGGACCTTTGGAAGAACAGCCAGTGCTCTTAACCTCTGAGCCATCTCTCCAGCCCTCAAACAAACTTTTAACTTGAAAATTGGTCACACACCCAAGATGGACATGTGGGTATACTGTATGGCAGAAAACCCTGACATATGGGTGAACCTGTGTTTCACATCCCACTGCCCATTGGAAGTGATCACATGTTACCAGATAGCTAAAGAGCGAAGGCATTCGTTAGGGCTTTGCCAATTCCTTGTTTGTGCATAGAGCACCATGGCCTATGCAGAGTCTTCTATTCCCAAAGATCAGCTCCCTTTGGTTCTATACTTGAATGAAGGGGAAATGTTATGCTTTCTCAATTTGTTTTTGATGATCATAGCTTTGTATCTGAATCATTCTGTACAAAACAGGGCATCTGTGTAATGAAAGGAGGAAGATACCTATTTTGATTTATGACATTCCAGAGCAATTTTTGATGGCTGAGAGAACAGAAGCAGCAGAAACAAAAGAAGCAGGATAGAAACCTATAGGGAATCTCAGAGACATTCTCCTCCAGAGTATCCCGCCCCAGAACTATGTAGCTGGGTCTGCTCTCGTCGTCCCTACCAGCCTGAGTTTATTCAGTGTGGCCTCAGGACAGTTCTGCATGGAAACTGCATTTATCTTTTGATCTTCCTGCTTTACAGCAATGCCCCAAAACTGTAAACAGTGCAGATTTTCTTTTCCCACCTGGCATGCTCTGTCCTTGAGAGATTAGGAAACAAAAAGTCAAGAAAACGTGTGAGCAAAGCTCCCCCCAGATCAAACCTCTAACTTGAAAATTCACCACACATGTAAGATAGGCATGTAGGCACAGAAACACCTGCCATGTAGCTTACCCTGTGTGTCACACACCTTGGGCCCAGCCCTTTGGCCTTCACAAACTGCTGAAGACTGACCTTGGGTAGCATTTCAGCTCTGCTGCTGCAAAGATGGAGGGAAAGACAAGGCACCACACTCCTGGGAGTTCCTGGCCCACAGGATGAGGATAGAACCATGAACCACATGCTGTAATGCTTATGGAACCATCACAAATGGTGACACATAAGGTTGTCTTTCCTGCTAACATTCTGTGA